CATTAGAATTGTGCTGTTGTGCTATCGGTTAAGAATATACCACGGACTGCCAGAAAAAATACAACTGGAATGCTCCTTAGAAGCAAGGATGGCAAAACTTGCTCTTGTATGTTTTAGACATGTCATCAGAAAAGACCAATCACTAGAAAAGGACTTCATGTTTGGTAAAGTGGAGGGTCAGAAAAAATAAGGGAGGCTCTCACTGAGGGTTAAGACAGTAGCCACTACAATGGGCTCAAACATATCAAGGATCGTGAAGATGGCACAGGATTGGGCAATGTTGTGTTCTGTTCTACAAAAGGTTGCCATGAGTCAGAGCCGACTCAACAGCCCCTAACGACAACTGATAGAATCCATGTATTATCCCCAAAAGATGCAGTTTGTTTAGTAAAAAAAAAAACTTTTAGGGTCTGTGATCATTAAGGTTGTATGTCCCAACTTGGTTGGGCCATGATTCTCAGTGGTTTGGCAGTTATGATGTAGTTTGGCAGTCGTATGATGATGTGATCATTTCCATGATGAGAGCTGATATAATGTGATTACCTCCATTATGGGATCTGCTGTGAGTAGCCGATCGGTTGAAAAGGAGTTTCCTTGAGGGTGTGGCTTGCATCCAGTACAGGTGGACTCTCTGGCAAGGCTTGCAGGCTTTTGATTGCTCTCGATTCTGCAGTTGGCTCTTGTTTGTCTGATCTCCAGTTCTTGGGACTTGAGCTAGCAGCTTACCTGCCATCTTGCCTGCTGACCTTGGGACTTTTGCCCTGCTGTCTGATCTGCTGATCTTGGGTTCACCGGCCTCTGTGGCTATGTGAGTTAGACGCCTCCAGCTTGACCCATGGACTTGGGACATCCCACCTTCTACAACCACATGAGCCACTTCCTTGATATAAATCTCTCTATATAGATATTTATATGCTTTACTGGTTTTACTTCTCTAGAGAACCCAACCTAAGACAGGGTCATTGGTGGTAAAAAAAAAAAAGAATTTGAACCAGTAGTTCAAAACTAGCTTCACTCCTAAATCCACTCATGTCCTGAGTATCTCACCATTAGCCTTTCCCTTCCTTCACAGTCCTGCCCTGGTTTGGGTCCCTATTACTCTCACATGAACTGTTATAATAGCTTCCTAGTTTGCCTTTCTGTTTCCACATTCTCCTACTTCTGATCCAGCCCAAATAGCATTGCCTCCAGGTAACTAATTATATCTTGCTCCCCTTGTTCAAAACCCTTCACTAATTTATCACTGTTTTGTTGTTGTGTGTTGTCGAGTCGATTCTGACTCATAGTGACCCAATAGGACAGAGTGGAACTGCCCCATAGGGTTTCCTAGGCTGTAATCTTTACAGGAGCAGGTTGCCAGGTCTTTTCTCCTGCGGAGCCACTTGGTAGGTTCGAACCGATGACCTTTGGTGAATAGCCAAGTGCTCAACCATTGAACCACCAGGGCTCCTAACTGCTCACTACCCATAGAATAATATCCAAGACTATTCTAAAGCTAATCTCCAGTGGCTGTATGATAAAAGTAAAAGCCTAGTACTCAAGGCCCTCTACAACTGCCTCAACCTACATTTCCAGCTTTAATATTTATTTGAATTATATTTGCCAGCTAATCTGGATTGCTTGCTTTTCCCCAAAGGTGTGTTGTGCTTTTCTGAAACCACTATGCCTTTGCTATTGAACTGGACAGCAGAAGTACAGGTGGGTTTGCTAATCCCCCTGGGAAGTGTCAGAATGCCTACCACACCCATAATCCCCTTCTCAGGGTTTCTAATAGACAGAACACCAAATGATGTATCAACTTATTTTGCCCTCCCAAACAAAGCCATTTAGGCCAGGAGCAGACACCTAACCTAGGGCAACAAATCTGTGTTGATGAGATGGCTTGTCAAGAAAGCTCTGCATAATACCCTGTACTTGATGGTAAACAGCAAAACCAGGCACGTCCTTTTGGGGAGTTGAATATGAAATACAGAGAGGGAGTCAGCAGTTAGCAGTGCGCAGAAGCTAAAAGATACACAGAAGGAAGGAAGAAAGCTGAAGTCATGTGGCAGCAGACACCATGAGGCAACAGAAGCTGTGAGATAGAGAAAAGAATACAAAGTACTTAGAAGCAAGGGCAGCAGAAGCCGAGAAAGAGGGTAGTTGAGTCACAATAATAGCAGTTATTTAGAGGACAACACAACAGATACCTACTGCTGACGAGCTCACAACATAACCCAGTTACTAGAGTCGTGTGCTGAATCACCTTCCAATTCCCACTGGTCATAATTTAAACTTAGACTGAGGTAACTTGAGTGTATCTCTGTTCTGGAAATTAAGTTTTGCCTCTTGGAATCTATATTAGCTGAGATCATGGCAGGAAACTCAAGGCACACTCAGCCGGGATTTTGAAAATAATTTGATAAAGGTACTATTTACAGAGTACAGGTAGGGCTAAGGGAACTAATGAGAAATATTGAGGCACCCAGGGACTAACAAAAGTGGAAGCCCGGGACTTAGGAGAAATGGGAAGGAAATAATATCGGAGTCCGAAGAAAACTGGAGCTGTGGAGGGACACAGTTACTGCCGGAACCATGGAGCTAAAGGAGGAAGGAAAGGAAACTACCTCAACCTCCTTTTCCTCCTGCCCTCTGATATCTGCTTTGGCCAAACCCAACTGGAAGCCAGAGGGCAATGGAGCCCATGTGCTGCAATCTGTGAGGTAGCAGCCTCATGGGGCACAGAACAGGGCATAAAAGGATAGAGGCGTTAGTGGGATGAATGGTACGCTTCTCCAAAAATTCACATCCTAATCTCTTGGACCTGAGAATATTATTACAGTATAAGGCAAAAGATGCAGTTAAGTTAAGGATCTTGAGAGTAGGGCCTTAGCCTAGATTATCTGTGTGGGCCCTAAACGTAATATAAGAGAGAGGTAGAGGGAGTTTTGAGAGAGAAAAAGAGGAGGCAATGTGACCACAGAGGCAGAGATTGGATCGATGTGGCCAAACACCAAGGAATGCCTGGAGCTACCAGAAGCTGGAAGAGGCAAGGAACAGATTTGCTCCTGGAGCCTTCAGAAGGAGCACCGCCCTGTTGACACCTTTCTATCAGACTTCTGACCTCCAGAACTGTAAGACAATAAAATCCTGTTGTTTTAAGCCACCACATTTGTGGTAATTCGTTACGGCACTCACAGGAAACTAATACACGAGCCAAATGGGGAATAACCAACACCATTTATTCATCTCCAATGCCATGTTGACCGTGATGATACCTTTAATCACCTTGGTGGGAAATTCTTTGCCTTCCTTCTGTATTCCCTTCGGTACTTCTTTTTGGATCGCTCATCTGATTCAAATTGCATACTCCTAAGTTCTAGTTACTTTGGCATACAGATATCCTTTCATCCTAACAAGATTATGACCCTTTTCTTTAGAATGAGAACCTGTCTTGTACATCTTTTATCCCATAAAAATCCTAGCACAGTACTTTGAACAGAGTGGACATTCTGTAATTGGTAAATGAAAAAGAAAGCTTCCATTTGTCCATCTGTAAATGGAAAATAACAATTTCCACTGACTTGCCTTTCAGAGATAATAATGGCATGTTTCCCGGAAACAATTTCTGGACCTGTAACAGAATGATATATCTGGACCAACCATTCCTGTTGGAGCAATTCCTCAGGGGGAAGAAAAATTACATTTACTTTCAGTATGTCCTCCACTCCATGTGAAGCTGTGGCTGTTTGCAGACCACCCCAAGGAGGAAAAGGCAGGGGATAATTAAGACAATATAATAGCTGAGCATTGGTGTTTCCTCAGGAACTTTGATTCATTCGATAAATATTTATCAAAGGACTACCATGTATAAAGTACGGTCCACAGATGCTAGGAAAACACACACACACGCACACCCCCCCCCCACATACATAAACTACATGCACACACATACACACATATACACACAAAGAATAAGCCCTGATCCCAAGTAATTCTCATATAATGGGATGAATGCTTTTTATAAAAGCAATATGCTATGGGACCAGAAAGAAGGAAATGATTAACTCTATCGATGGGAGCTCCACCAAAAAAGTCACAGTTCAAGCTGGTCTTTTAGGAGTTCGTCAGGCAGAGGCAAAGTAAAGAGCGTTCTGGGACCAAGAGAAGTAACTTTGCCTGAGCTGTTGCCAAGTAAACCACACCCTTAGCTCAGTCCTATTGTATCCATGGGTGTTCCCATTTGCACAAAGACCTATTTTTATTCATTATCCTCATAGCTACTTTTTCAGAGAGGGAGAAAATGCTGACTCCTTCCCTATTTTGCATCTAGGTATTTTATATGTCAAAGAAAGAAGATTATCAGGAGAGAAAGTGAAGGTTGACTTCTGTCGAATAATGACGAGCCCAAATATTCATCTAATACTGAGTTAAAATAGAAACTCATACCTTTCCTGAGCTTCTTCCTCATTTTGGAAAATCGAGTTAGAGTGAGAGTATGGGGGTATCATGCATTTATAGCCTAGAGAAAAGCAGGCAAGAAATGAGGACAACCCTTTGTCTCACTGCCCCAAACTAGGAGGCCTTTATTTGTGGTCCTTCCAGTGAGGATACGGTTCAGAAGTGAGGAGGCTTTTAAGGAGTGCCCACAGGCTGCTGGTTGGCTGAGGCGCCTCTGCTTGGCATGGAGCAGCTTCAGTAAAGGCTCCTTGAGTGGAATTGTGGCAGAGGCCCTTTTTCCTCCCCTAGGCTGACCTTCAAAACACTCCCCGGGAAGCAGCTCTGTCCCGGGCCCCGCCCTACTTCTCTCCCAGGCCAGCCCTGCTAGGCCTGGGAGACCAGAGCGGCCTTCTTAGGAGTGGGAGGAGAAAACTCTTGGGAAAGCAGCCAGGACAGAGGAAAAGACTGGCCTAAACCCACCAAGGGCAGAGGGTTCCCTAGCCTCACCCTGCTGCTTCCACTGGTAAAGGGGAAGCTGGGAAACCAGTTCTAGCACCAGAGTACACATCACTCCTCCGTGTTTTCTCAAGAAGTCTCTACCTCCCAGACCCTGCCAGGAAGCTGGTGGCATTTCACGAGGTAGTAATAACAAGGACAGAGCGTTCTAGCCTGCTGGAGCCTGTTGGCCGGTCACTCTTTCCATTGCCTTTTGTTTTCATGCATCATTCCCCTCACTTGCTTCTCAGATTCCTCAGGGCTTTGAAAAAGCCACAAATGCTCCACACAGTGACAACACCCAGCGGGCTGGCAGGCATCGCGACACGCACCCTGCCCTAAGCGATGGCACACATGCAAACCCTGATAACTGACACCCAGCCACACACCCAAGAAGAGGCAACAGACGGCTTCCAGAAAGCTCCCCATTCACTGACAAAGGTAGGACTTTAGAGTAAGTACTACCCGGTGGACTGGTAAATCTTAGCCCTGTTTTATTCAAAATGCATCTGTAAGAGATGTTGGGCAGTGCTACTTCTTCACTCTTCTCTCAAGGATCTAAATGCAGCCAACATAGAAGTTACTAACAAAGAAAGGCCTCGCTACATCAACTTGTACATTAATATATTAGATTGCATATACATACATGGAACTGAGGCTCTCAGCCCTACTTATGTTTCAGTATCGCCTGTGATCCGTGTCAAACCAGACTCCAGAACTACCCTATCAGAATCTATGAGAATAACCACTTGCCATCAAGTCATTTCCAACTCATGCTGACTCCATGTGTGTCAGAGTAAAACTGTGCTCCATAGGGTTTTCAATGGTTGACTTTTTGGAAGTAGATTGCCAGGACTTTCTTCTGATCTATCAAAATAGGGCCCAGATGTGTGTATTTTTAAAAAACTTGACAGTATTTGGTTAACATGTGGAACATCAGGAATTCTCATATATCATTCGTGAGAGTGAAAACTGGATTAACTACTGTCTGCTAATCAAAAGGTTGGCGATTCGAACCCACCCAGTGGCTCTGTGTGAGAAAGACCTGGAAATCTGCTTCCATAAAGATTATAGCCAAGAAAACCCTACCAGGCAGTTCTACTCTGTCACATGGGGTTGCTATGAGTTGAAATCAGCTGGACGGCACCTAGCAACGGTATCAACTGTGGAGAGTAGAAAAATCTAGTGAAGTTAAGAATGTGCATATCATATTCCCTAGGAGAACTCTCACACGTGTGCCCGAGGAGACATACACAAGGACATTAATTACATCATTATTTGAAATAGCAAAAAAATAGCAATAACGAATATCCATCCACAGGAGAATAGATTCTAGAATACTTATACAATGAGGTACTATATTGCAGTTATAAAGATTAGTTCTATAAGTATCACGTGGATAAATATCAAAAACATAATGTTGGAAAAAAAGTTGCAGGAAAATATGTTCACTATTTACATACATAAACACCCAAAACATATATATTGTATAGTAAAAAAAGTATAACAACATGTACAGGATGAATTCCTACCATCTTTAAGAGATTGGTTACCTTTGGGGAAAGATGGGATGGAAAGGCCTTTTCTTGTAAGTAAAATGTTTTACTTATTTAAAAAATCTTAATCAAACATAGCAAACTGTTAGAATTTATTAAACATGGATAGTGGATACATGACCCACAGGTAACTCTGAAGGTCATCTAGAGCAGAGAATTCTTTTCAGATTCTTAGGATTCTCAAAAATTGAAAATAAAAGGCTGTTCTACATAGTGAGCTATCCCTATAAACAAAGATGACACTACTGAGCCCTGTCAGTAATGTATGCACTATGAGATTTTTTTTTTATTAATAAAGGATGTGTTGTGCACATCCACCCACCTTCTCTTGTCCAGGCATGCCTGTGACCTCCTGCATTTGTGAGCTACCTAAATCGAGTCAGGGTGCAGTGGAATGGAGATAGGGATTGGTGCACATGTGGGTATCATCATTATGACCATATCCAGAGGTTTTCAAACTTTAATGAAAATCAGAATCATCTGATAAAATTATTAATAGATCTGTCCATGCCCCACCCCCTGAGAATATGATACAGTAGTTCTGAGGTGGACTCAGGAATACTTTTAAAAGGCTGGTCAAGAGATTTTGATGATCAGTCAGTCGGGTTTGAGAACTGATGATGACTAACCAATGTTATGTTCTATTAATGCTTTCAAAGACATTGAGTAGGGAGAGAAACGGGAGAAAAAAAGGCAAGAAATGAAAGGAGAAAAGGGAGGAAGTAGGAAGGGACAAGGGAGACTTCAAATCCAGTTGAAATCCTTCCTATTTTTCCTAGACCTCTCCAACCTTGAATTGTTCCTCTATCATCTAAACTGTGCTAGAACTCTAAGCATATATAATGTTCATTTGGCAATTATGTACTTCCCTATATATTGCTGTAATAGACTATTATTTACTCAATAGGTTTATATCTTGTTTCTTGAATTAGGCTATAAGCTTCTTAAGGACATGGACCATATCTTGTTCACCTCTGTATTTTCTATAATGCCTAACACAATGCCTTGCACAGAGTTCAGCAGTGTGGCAGAATATAAGATCAATAAACAAAAATCAATTGTATTTCTATATACTAGCAATGAAAATCTGAAAACGAAATTTAAAAGCAATCCCATTTACAATAGAAACAAAAAGAATTAAGTACCTAGAAATAAAGTTAACAAAAGAAGTGCCAAACTTAAATAGTGAAAACTACAAAACATTGTTGAAAGAAAGGAGACCTAAATAAATGGAATGATATCCCATGTTCAAGGATTGGAAGACTTAACACTGTTAGGATAGGAATACCCCCCAAAATGATCTATAGATTCAATGCAATCCCTATCAGAATCCCAGCTGTCTTTTTTTTTAATGTAGAAATTGACAAGCTGATTTTAAAATTCATACAGAAATGTAACCCAGAATAGCCAAAACAATCTTGAAAAGGAAGAACAATGTTGGAGGACTCACAGTTCCCTATTTCAAAACCTACAACAAAGCTACAGCAACCAAGACAGTGTAGTACTGGCTAAGGATAGACATATACATCAATGGGATAGAACTGAGAATCCAGAAATAAACCTTCACATTTATGGTCAATTGATTGTTGACAATGGTGCCAAGACAATTCAATGGGGGAAAGAATAGTCTTCAACAAATGCTACTGGGACAGATGGTTCCTTACCTCACACCATATACAAAAGTTAACTCAAAATGGATCAAAGATCTAAATACAAGAGCTAAAACTATAAAACTTCAAGAAGAAAACATAGGAGTAAATCTTTGTGACCTTGGAATAAGCAATGGTGTCTTAGATATGTCACCAAAAGCAGAAGGAATAAAAGAAAAAAAATAATTTGGATTTAATCAAAATTAAAACTTTCATAATTCAAAGGACACTATCAAGAAATTGAAAAGACAACAAACAAAATGGGATAAAATATTTATACATCATATATTTACAAGGGACTTCTATGCAGAGTATCTGTCAGTGGAGGCTTACATGTTGCTATGATGTTGAACAGATTTCAGCAGAGCTTCCAGACTAAGATGGACTATACAGAAAGCCTGGAATCTGCTTCCAAAGATCAGCCAATGAAAACCCTATTGATCACAAGAGTCCAGTGTGTAGGACCCATCAGCATCAGTCAGTGTTTCTTTCTGTTGTGCACCGAGTCGCCATGACTTGGGGGCCAACTCAATGGCAGCAAACAACAACAACATTACAACTCAATAATAAAAAGACAAATAACCCAATTAAAAAATGGGCAACGCATTTGAACAAAAATTTCTCCAAAGAAGATACACAAATGGCCAATAAGCACATGAAAAGATGCTCAACATCTCTTATTAGTCATTAGAGAAGTACAAATCAAAGCCACTTAAGATACCTCCTCACACCTACTAGGATGGCTAATAATATGAAAGACAGACAATAACAAGTTTTGGCAAGTGTGTAAAGAAATCGGAACCCTCATACATTGTTAAGGGGAATGTAAAATGGTGCAGCAACTTTGTAAAACAGTTTGGCAGTTCCTCAAAATGCTAAATATAGAGTTACCATATGAATCAGCAATCCACTCCGAGGTATATACCCAAGAGATATGAAAACGTAAGTCCACCCAGCTACTTGCACATGAATGTTCTTAGCAGTATTACTTACAATAACCAAAAAGTGGAAACAACCCAAATGTCCATCAACTTATGAATGGAAAATAAAATGTTATATCCATACAGTTGAATATTATTTGGCAATAAAAAATGAATACTGATACATGCTACAACATAGATGAACTTTGAAAACATTATGCTAAGTTAAAGAAACCAGTTACAAAAGACCGCATAGTATATAATTCTATTTATGTGAAATGTTCAGAATAGACAAATTTATAGAGACAGGAAGTAGATTAGTGGTTGCCTGGGACTTGGGTGACTGTAGGGGTAGGGAGTGGGAAGGGGGAGTGACTGCTAATGGGTATGGGCTTTCCTTTGGGGGTGTTGAAAACATTCTAAAAATTAGACAATGGTGATGGTTGCACAACTCTGTGAATATACTAAAAACCATTGAATTGTACATTTTAAATGGGTTAGTTTTATGGTATGTGAAATATATCTCAATAAAATTATTCAGATTGAGAATATAACCCAGTTTTGAATTATAGCTCTGTCACTTACTGTTTCTGAACACACCAAGCTCATTTCCCTCTCAGGACCTTTGCATTTGCTATTACCTCAAGTCCTCGTATGATTGGCTTCTTCTCATCATTCAGGTCTTCTGACTTCCTTGTCTAGTGTGCAGTCTCCTCCCACCCCTGTCAATTGCTATCAGTTACCCTATTTCGTTTTTATCATGGGATTACTCACTATATGAAATCATTTTATTTCTAAATTTACTAGTTTCTTATCTGTCTCCTCGACTAGAGTGTAAGCTCCATCAAAATAGTAACCTTGTCTGTCTGAGTCACTATGTATCCTTACTTCCAAAACAGTGTCTGGCACACACTAATCAATCAATAATACTTTTTGGATGTTGGATGAATGGAAGGTGGTTAACCTCCAAGTTTCACTTAATCTCTCTAAATCTTCATTTTTTAGCTACAAAATGGAATAACAATAACACCCTATAGGATTGCTGTGAGGATTGAATAACATAGTGAATGCAAAAACACAGCTTGTAGTAGACATTTAATAAATTTTAATTATTGTTACTCCTTCTACCACTATTATTACTCTATAATTAAAATGGTCCAGATAAGGATGATCACTCGAACTAAGGCATTGCCAATGGAAAAAGAGTTTCTGGGTCCCACTTTCTTTTTTTTAATTTTCATTATGTTTATTTTGACAGTTACCCTCTATGTATGTCAGGAGAGACTCCTTGTCCATTTATAATGGTGATACAATAT